GCTGCTGCTGCTGCTGCTGCTGCTGCTGCTGCTGCTGCTGCTGCTGCAACAGGGTCTCTTTTAGCCCAAGGTGACTTCCAGTTCACTATGTAGCTGAGGATGACCTTGAACATCTGAACTCCACCTCCAGAATGCAGGCCTGTGCCATTACTCCCTCTCTGTGTGGTTCTGGGAACCAAACCCAGGGCATTGTGCATAGGGCAAGCACTAAGTGAATAGGGCATCAACTAAGCCATATCCCCAGCCCCTTTCTTCTTTGTTGCCATTGGTCTTTACAACTCTGGGAGGTTTTTATAACTGCCACCAGATGATGAAACCGACTTAGAGAATGGGAAAGGGACTTCCCATTCTCACCTGTTCAGGATGCTCTAAGAATTCCCTGGTCTACTGAGAGTCATAGTGAGCCCGCCCACTGCCCCCCTGAGCTTTCCCACCTGAGTTTTGCCACTCGCTCTGTAGACCAGGCTGTCCTTGAACTCGTATACTCGAGTGCAAAGAAGTCATGTTCTTTCCAAACACCACAAACGTGTTCCTGTCGGCCACCTGTCCGCCACGTGCATGCTGTCACATCTTTAGGGATTGATTACACATCTTCTAAATGACAGTTTTTAACAGTGCTTAAAACTGTATGCACTACACCTTGTCTCCAGCCTTCTTTCCTCTAGAGCTGTATTGCTAACATATTTTATGTCTCTCCAGAGATTTTTATTTTTCTTTTCCTTTTCATTCTATCTCCCGCACCTGAGCAAAAAAATTAGTGTTCATGTTTAAAATTTTGCTCAAGGTCACAGAAGTATGAATTAAGGAGCACACTGGCTGACCCCTAAAGCTAACCCTCCACTACTTCAAACATATAATGGGCCCTAGGGAAAAGGCTAATTGCAGAAGATTTCCACCCAACATTTGGGCTTTCTGTAGAGCCTGGAGCCACATTTCTATTGGCAAGATAAAACTGAGGTGAGGGAAGGTCAAGATAGGGGTAGAAAGTTCTAGAAGGGAATGAACAGCAGAACAGAGACAAACCTTACAAGGCTCTGAAAGCAGACTTGACATCAGCCTTTTTATGTGCACATTGCTGTGTACTCACTGCTTGAGCTTTATGCCCATTAGTAACTATGGCAGCCCCCTCCAGCTCCCTAAAACCACTAATTCACCCCTGGACTCCACAGATTTGACTATCTTAGGTTTCCAGGTGGATGGGATTATGAAGATGTCTTCCTGTAACTGGTTTTTCTACTTGTGACTTATCACAGAATCCCCTTTTTGTTAAAGGCTCCACACATCTTTTCCCATCCACCTGCATTTTTCACACACTGGTTTCTGTTGTGACCAGGAGAGCTTGCTTCTCTGGGGCCTTGATTTCAATTGTTTTTATATTAATGGCAGGAAGTAGGATTGCTTGGCCATTTCTTAGGGCTCCCATCTTCTTTCATAGCTACTGCAGCATGTTAGATGTCCACAAACAGCCCAGTGTGTTCAGACTTTTGGTGTGATCTTAGCCCTAACGAAGGGAAAGCATCCAACTACCATTTAAACATTGCCAAGCACGGCCTTCAACAGAGAATTAGCGACAGTAACAAGGACTTTGTCTCTGTGTGTACTCCCCATATCAGTGGAATTAGAAACCAGGAGTCATCAAGCCC